CCTCCTTCCCTATTGCCTCCCTCATTCCTATTGCTTCTCCGCCCCTTCATATTGAATCTCGCCTTCCTTCAGCTATTGCTCTCGCCTGTCCTGCTATTGCTGCTCACCCCCTTCCTAAGTTGCGCTGCTCGCCCTCCTTCGCTATTGCCTCCCCTCCTTCTAATGGCTCTCCGCCTCCTTCCTATCTGATCTCCCGCTCCTTCCTATTGCTCCTCCGACCCTCATGCCATATTGCTCTCCCTCACTTCCTATGTGCTCTCCCCTCCTTCCTATTGATACTCCCCTCCTTCCGCCATTGTCCTCCCCTCCTCCATTGCTTCTCCCTCGCTCCCCATTGCTCTCGCCCTCCTTCCTATGGCTCCTCCCGCTCCTTCCATATTTGGCTCTCGCCTGGCCTTCCTATTGCGTCTCCCCTCTTTTCTTTCGAACACCCTTCTTCTTTAAACCACTTTCCCCTATCATAGTTACGCTGTGCGTAACAGGGGCCGCTACGGCTCGATACCCCGTCGCGCGCGCTCGCGAGTGACGTACCTTTACTGGGCCTCGTGAACTTGTTACTGTGTCTGCGTTGCCGTAAGGCGAGACGTCCCCGAATACGCTCATCACATTTCCATCATGCGACACAGGCGCGCGACACGTGCGAACTGGCCACAGTCGCACGACAGCTCCCCTGTGACAACAGCAACGGAGAGACACAATCAGCACAACGGTTGAACGGTGAGGGACCGTCACATAGAGGACGTCACTGCATGTGACCCATCAATAGATGGACGTGCCCTGCATGGCAGAGATCCCGAACACATATTTTGAACAATCTGTAGTTTTCTGGGCATCAGAATTAGTCAGTTTGAGGGGGATACCGCAATGCCCCCCCCGGGAAATTTTTATTCTGAGATGGCAATTCCTGGGCAAGTATGAGGGTCTAAAACAATGACAATAAAATTGACAACAAATGACAATAATGACAAAAAATTTTTTTTTTGCACAATCACAGTGAAATTCGTAGTTTGATGACAACTGGTCGTAGTGGATGCAAAAAGGAATAGAAATTCCGCTATCCACACACCCCTACCCGCGCCACTAAATCATAGTGGTTGGCATCTGGCATGGTGACACCGATCCCAAGAATGAACAACCCCCCAGTCATAGTGACACCGGTCCCATGGTGACACCCCCGAGTAACATCCGCAGTATAGTTACACTAGCAGGACAGTCGCCAGCATGGTGACACCGTCCATACAAGACGTGGCCTAAGCATAGGTGCAGCCGTCACCTCGGGTGGCGCCCTCTATACCAAAAAACAGCAGCACCACCAAGGCGGATATAAGAAAGCTCACCATCGCCGACAGCGTTTCGAATACCGATGTCCTGGAACAGCAGGTGGCGTAGAACTTGCGGCAGCTGTTGCAGGACAGCTTGTCATAGTGGAGGCCTGATGTGTGCAAGGCGTAGGGTCGCATACCATGCAGCGGGCGGATGGTAGGCTGTAAAGGCGAGCACAGAAAAACGGGCGCAGTTTTATGATTATTACAAAAGGATAGGCAAAACAAGATTCATGTTTTTAGCACGGACATTGAATTTGTGTCAATTTAGGCTGGCGCATCCAAGTTTTAAACTGCATGCCTGTTTTGCCCTGTTTACTGTTTGTTTTGCACTGTTTACTACTGTGTGTATAATACATGTACTGATTCTCATCACTTTTCCAAGTTTTCTTGTTCAAATTAAAAAAAAATTATTATTATTATTTTGTTGTTGTTGATGAAATCGATTATGGATTTTGATAATCAAGCGCTTGGTTCGAGCCACTGTTCAACCGATGATCGAGTATAATCGATGATCATGACATCACTACTGGTCGTAGTGGTGCAAAAGGAATAGAAATTCGTATAAAATACGAATAAATCATAGTGGTTAACATCTGGCATGGTGACACAATCCCAGAATGACACCCCCAGTATAGTGACACCGTCCCATGGTGACACCACGGAGTAACATCCGCAGTATAGTTACACTGGTTACATGGTGAAACCGTCACATAAAGACGTGGCCTGCATGGTGAAACCGTCCCATAAAGACGTGGCCTGCATGGTGACACTGTCACACGGTGGCGCCCTCTATACTCACAAACAGCAGCACCACGCAGGCGATATAGAATGCTCACCCATCGTCCGACAGCGTTCGAATCCGATGTCTGTGAACAGCGTGCGGTAGAACTTGCGGCAGCTGTTGCAGACCAGCTTGTCATAGTGGAGGCTGATTGTGTGCAAGGCGTAGGTGTCGCATACCATGCAGCGCGGATGGTAGGCTGTAAAGCGAGCGCAGAAAAACGAGCCAGTTTTATGATTATTACAAAATTAGGTAGCAAAACAAGATTCATGTTTTTAGCACTGAGCATTGAATTTGTGTCAATTTAGCTGGCCATCCAGTTTTAACTGCAACGATATGAACATGAAATGGAAGAAAAATGGAGAAAAATCTAAATCTACTACCACGAGGGTAACACATAAAATTCACACTTCAACGGACTTCGTTGAGCCTGCCGAGGGTTCTAAGAATGAACCAAATATCACAATTAAGTTTCCGAAGTACTCTCCTCTTTGATACACACAACTTGCTGTGCACGCGACGCCCTGTGGCGCCACTTAACTTACGGTCAGCCTCTGGGTATGTTCTCCTGATCAGCGAAGGCGGCGGAAGAAGGTTCTGCGCTGCCGAATTAACCTTCGGTCGGATCTTCGCGAAACCTTTCTTCGCCCATTCCACCAACGACGTCGGCAGTCTGTCCTTGCTCCGCCGCTCCGTCGCCGTCGTCATGGCAACCTCGGTTTTCCCGCTCAGCTTCTTCTTCGCACGCTTGACGATCTGGAGGCACTTCTGCAGCGTGGCTTTCTGGTCAGCCTAGCGCGACGAGGAAAATCGAATGCTGATCGAGGGCAGTAACAGCAGGTAACATGGAGGAGGGTGCTCTCACTGATAAGGGTGCGGGGCAGGTGTAAGAACGAAGCACTGCGGGTACGTAGGTTGAGCCCAGACCGCGCGCTCTGACCGCTCTCTCTCTCTCTCTCTCACTCCCATAAACCTCCCTCTCCGCTCACCCAACCCTCTTCCATTCCGAATAACCTTCTTTCTGCTGAACCAACTCTTTCTTCCATTCAGATAGCCCCTTTTCTGCTCATGCAACCCTTTCTTCGTCCCCCTCTCTCTCTCTCTCCCTCTCTATATTGTGGCTTCAGGATTCTGTGCAGCTCACCTGCTGCTCCTCGCGAGGGATGCTGCGCGCTCCTCTCTTCCTCATCTCCTCGTCCAGAAGGTACTCCTCGGCGACGGTCGTCATGCGTCGCTGCCTCTTCCCCGCGACGATGAGAGGCTGCTCAAAGAGTCCGGGCGGTCGCGGAAGGTGCACCGCTGACAATGAAAAACAAGTGAACATGTAAGCATCGAGCTACGGGACAGACTATTGGCCACAGTGCATGTACCGCTGTCAACAAGAAACAAGAGAACACGTGAAGAAGAGAACATTCTCTATGGGATGAACTAGTGCCTTGTGGTAGCGCCGCATTTCGCTGCCGACGAAAAATGTAAACGTCAAAAAAAAAACCTCTCTATGGGACAGACAAATACTTTGCGGATGAGGTGGATACACCACATTACAGCAGTTAATTCACACAGAAGACAAGCGTTAACAAAAGAGCATACCTGGTATTGCATAGGGAATACCGACGGAAGAGTCGCTCTCGGTTTTAATAGTGGTGCCATCTGCCAGTGTAACAGCACTAGGGGGCGACGCCGGCACGTCTTCGACGCGCACAGTCGGAGACAGTCTATCTTCCCCGGCAGGCGGCGCCACTGTTTGTTTTGGCTGGCGACCCCCACGTTTGGGCGGTTTGGTGGCCTCCCCGCTCGTTTTTGCGTGCACCGTCTTGATGCTGGTCTTGTGTACTAAATTGCCGTGCTTGTACCTGCAGCAGCGTGCGAAATTAACGCGAGTCCGGAGTCAAATACTCCATGATTTACTGTCGAACTCCCTGCTTTGACATATGCAGGAGTCCGTGTGACTCCCTGAAAATTCTGCTATACTAACTAGTTCGTTCCAGAGCACGGCCTCGCGGAATTATCATATTTTTTCAGCAAATGTCCAAAGAAAATTTGGCAGACCACATGAATCTTCAAAATAAGCACATGCGTTATTTAGTTTGCATCTTTAGTTTTGAACTTCAGAAAGTGGACTCCCTCATTTTGATGCGGAATCCTTCTTTTTTAGGGCAGGGCGTTGGACTCCCTTGTTCAAAAGTTAATTTCTACCCCTGCTGCAGGATGCGAAATTAGCACCGGCCCACCCTTTAGCAACATTTGTACAAACTTGAAATCGAGAATGCAAGCGTGAAACGTGACATTGACAAAAACACTTCGGACATCATTCACGATCTGCATTATAATCTGTTTTTACAGCTACTATGCGATGCCGCACACTACAACATTTTTCGGACAAGCAAGAGTCAGTGAAACAGTGTTATCTTTATTTTTGAGAGAAAAAACCAAAATTGTGAGGGCTGGTGGAAAACTGCTGTCACCAGCCCTCTGGGCCAGTGCAAAAAATCTGAAGTTCATGCCCTGTATAATAATAATACAATATTCTAAAAGCTATCTAACAGTATTATACTTGCTTATGTTTGGTGTAGGTTAGAAAAGTAACCAATAAAAACACAAAAAATACAATAAAGTCATTTCATCAATGCTGGCAAATTTCATTTTAAATTAATTTTTTTTGGGGGTAATCGATTATTAATTTTCATAATCGAGCGCTTAGGCGGTTGCTGCAAACAACTGACTTTCGATTACAATGAATCGATCATCGGGACATCACTACCTGTACGATGTGTAATCGATCACTACCTGTACGATGTGTAATCGATCACTACCTGTACGATGTGTAATCGATCACTACCTGTACAATGTGTAATCGATCACTACCTGTACGATTGTGCTAATCGATCACTACCTGCTACGATGTGCTTCGCGCATCACTACCTGTACGATGTGTAATCGCGGCACATCACTACCTGTTACGATGGTCGTAATCGATCACTACCTGTATGTGATTTGATCCCTTGATGCATGAGCTTGTCAGCTGTCCGTGTGACCGTGCGGATCTTCTGCACATACTTCCTTCCCTCCTCGCGCGTGCTTCACACAGAACGCGAGGCCACCTCCAAACCGTCGTCGCCTCCTCGCCGCTGCCGCTGCCGCCGCCTCGCCTGCCGCGCCGCTGCCGCCGCCGCCCCACGCGTATCCTCAACCTCCACCTCTTCCTACCCTTCGTCGCCGCGGTAACGCCCTCCACCTCGCTACCCTTCGTCGCCGCGGTAACGCCCTCCACCTCGCTACCCTTCGTCGCCGCGGTAACAACCTCCGGCTTGCCCTCGCTCGCCGGCGCGACTGCGTCTGCCATCATCGCGGAAACAGCGTCCGGTTCGCTCGTCCGCCGATTGTTGGCGCGCGCCGTCGCGCGCTTTTTCCTCGCGGCAGAGCGCGACGATGCCTTGCCACTAGGAGGCGCAGTCGTAGTCGCCGGCACTTCCGAGTCTAATCGTGGTTTGGTGGCTGGATGGCGCCTCCGGCGCGGCGTGGAGGCGGGTAGCGAATCTGCCGTGACGCCGGTGAGTGACCTTGATGTGTTGATCAGAGTGGGGGTCGTCTCAGTCGAGGCAGGCGTCGCCTCGACCGAGTCGGGGGCCGCCTCGACGGACGAGACGCGTCGACTCGCGTCGCTGCCCTGCAGTTTATGTTGCGTCGTCGTGGCGACGGACGTCCTGCGTGGGAGGATGCGGAGCCCCCGCTGCAGCATTTGTCTGTAAGAACCCCTGCGGAAGGAAGCGCGGAATTAGCAACGGCAGAGTGACACCAACCTGAAGCAGTAACGCAGATTAGAAATGCTGTGACGATTATTTCATTATTATTATTAAATCTTTACGATGACGAGTTTTACGTTACGATTACGTTCAGACAAGAACCGTTACAACATTAAATGCAGGGATGAGATTGGATAATTTAATTTTCAGCTGAAATTTTAATTAGCAAACAGAGGAGCGAGCAATGCGAGGACCGTAGGTCATCGCCATGCTAGGGGGGTCCGGAATTTTTTTTAAAAGAATGGTGCAATTTGGTGCATTCTAAGCTATT